TCATAATAATCAAGAAAAACATTATACAATGTCTTTCTTTTTATTGGAGATTAAGGTTCTTCTCTCCAATCTTCTATGCCCCACACTTCTTCCATAAGACCATCACCATTACTGTCATGCAACTTAAAACAGCTTACATGTAGGTTAATTTGCAGACTCTTTTTAAACACTGGTTGCTTAGAACTTAAAATGCATTTTTTAGCCATGTTAGAACTGTATGTGATGCTGTGTTTCATGTTACAGAGTCTGTGCAGGATCCAGAGAAACTCAGAGAGAAATCTTTATAATGGAGAAAAAGTGGCTAAGCATCTCCTCAGCAAACTTAATGACTAGGGATTTCACCTGTCCTCTCTGTTTCCCACAAATATGGAGGTGCTGTCCCATGATCATAAAGACTGGAATAGTCCTGGCTTTGGAACCAAGGGTTGGATTGAAAGTGAATCTCAAGATATTGTTATCTCAAGATATTGTTCTATACATTGGCTAAAAGGGCAAAAGCATAAGCTAAACTTCCCATTGATTCTGCTTAACATTCCTGCCATGTTCAATGAATTTCTTCCAGTGCTACAGACTCACTGGTCCTTAATATCTGTTTGCCCTAAGAATCTCAGAAACTTAAAAGAAAGTCCCTGCCAGAGTAACTGGGTATCAAAAAGGGGAAGGAACTCCTGTTAAGTTTGTACTCAAAAATCTCCTTTTTGATTGCCTTACTTCATGTTATCCTTGAAGATAGTTGTCTGTATTCCCATTTTTCAGATTAAGCAAGTAAAGCTTCAAAAGGTTAAGTAAGGCACCCAACGTCACACGAGAAGTTGTAGTGGCAAAGACAACATTCAGATCGAGGTTCATATGACAGCCGAAATTGCATTCTTAATCAAAGAGTTAGTTTACTAAATCCAAGTTGGGCATTGCATAGGTACAACTCTCCAACATCCCCAATTCTTGCAAGTGAAATTATATACTGTTTAAGAGAATGGAGGAGAAACTGAGTAAACCAGAAATAAAATTAACCTTGCAACTCAAAGGTCATTTTTGGCTCATAGTATCAACATCTTTCTATTGAACAATGGTTGAACTTACTTTCTCTTTCATAAAATGACAGGAGTTATGGAAACAGAATTTCCCTTGGCATCTTATCTGCTTCTAAGCTATAAACACATTTGCGTGCATATTATTCTTATTTTTCAAAACTTTGTTCACTTATTCCATAACCCATCTTCACAAGCAAAGGTCTTCCACCTCTTGCTCCAAGCTTACTTACATAATGGTCCTTTAAAAATCCTCCATGACCCCTGGGACATGGTCCATCAATTATCCTATCTCTTCTTCTTCAAATATTCAACTCATCCATCTTTACTTACTCCTTCCTATAATTTATAAACCTCCTTTATAAAAAAAATCTTTCAACAGCTCACTTACCAAATGATGAGAGTGAGAATCGCATAGCTCCAGTAATGTAAATAAAACCTGAATTCTGGACCTATGAACTTGCCCAGTTTCATATCTAACCTTATTGACTAAATTGTCTTAGACTTTGTCAAGTATTGATTACAAAGCCAGACTTTTCTTTATTATTAAAACCTGGCATGTCTCTTTGATCTGAATTATTTGCTTTCTCTTCAATATAATTTGTATCTTATAAAAAACATAGTGTCTAATACCGTTCACTTTAAATGAGTTTTTCTCATAACAAACATTTATTCTTAATTCTATGTCATCTTGACTAATGTTACACTAATTTCTGTTAACTGATTGTGATAAACAGTGTTTAATGTGAAAAAAAAGTAAAACTTTATCTGTTTACAAAAATCTCCTTTCAATTCTATATTCTCTTCTACCTCCATTAATCTTTCCCTTCAACTCAGAGATAAGCTTTTAAAAACAATAACATGTATTCATTAGCTCTACCTTTCACCTCTCATTAAGTCAGTGCTCTGAAATCTGGCTTCCGACCCAAACTCTATCAAAATTACTTCCATTATGATTTCCAATGGCTTTCTAGATGACAAATCTAATGAATGTCCTTGAATATTTATTTTTGTAGATTTCTGTAGCATCTGGTCCTATCTGATCATTCCCTCCATGAAATTTTCTCCATCCCTGGTTTCCATGACATTGCTCTGTCTGGTTCACTCTTACCTGCCTCGTACTTCTTCATGGGATCTGTTTTCATATCCAGTCTCTTACATATTGATGTTCCCTAGTGGTGTGTCTTTTCTCACTTTAAATTCTCCCTCTAATAATGTCTTCTCTATCTACTCCTTCATCTGCAATCACAGATGCTAGATTCACATTGGTAAACAAACTGTTCACAGAGCTGCCCCTATAAGGCTTATAATCTAGTGGATGATGATGTAATAACATCGCCATTTTGATACATGCCTTGAAAGAAAGAAGAAGGCTGTTTGACAGTGAAAGTGAAGAAGCTAAGCTGAACTTGGGCACAGAAGAGGTTTCTATGAGAAAGTGACATTAAGCTAGCCAAAGAGTGGGTTGGGAGGGACATATTCTAAGATGAGAAAATAAGATGAAAGGTAGCCTGAAGTTGAGAAGTATAATTCTAAATATGATGAACAATGTGTATAAGTGCAGAAGTTAGAGAGTATTGCACAATGGGGTAGATTATCCAGAGGTTAGATCTCTGAGTGGTGAAGGAAATATGATAGCATTGTGACCCCATAATGCAGAGTCCAGGGGGGAAGGGCATTTTCTGACATACCCTGGAGTTTGAAACTTATGTTTATTATTAATGGGGACCCTTTGAAAAATTTTACTCGGTGGCTATAAAGAAATTTACTTGGATCTGAGGAACAATAGTATCAGAGAGGAAAGTTTGAAGCTATTTAGATCATCAGGAGTAAAATGAGTATCTGTAAAACAGTGGCAGTGGAAATGGAAATAAGAGATTAAAGTGAAGAGAAATGTACAAATCTAAGAGATTGACATGTTGTGGGTGGATTGGATCTTCAGGTCAGAGAGAGACAGAGGAAGCAGGAAAAGATTATTCTCAGGGAATGAGAATGGGTCTAGAGAACTGGGGTGAGGAGATGTCAGGCTGAGCTCCATCGCTCTAGCTCCAAACCTCTCTACCTGGCTACCTCTGGCTTTCTAGCTCCTTCTTAATTTCCTTCCCCTCAGCATCATCTATTATGGTCAGTTACACCACACTTTCCTGACCATCCTTGACACGTCCCCCTCGCCCAATACCCAAATCCTAAGTACTGAGTCCTGTCAGCACAATGTATTTCCTGAAAGTCTGAGATTGACACACCCCCTCTGCCACAGTTTCCAACTCCTTACACCAAGTCACCTTTAATGCTCACCTTTAACTCTAACCTGGCAGCTCCAACTTAAACTCCTGCTCGCTCCCTGTGCAATCCATTCTACACACACACCAAAATTTATGACAATGAGCAAAACCACCACAGTCAGATGCTAGGGGTCTTCCAACAAAAGGAGATGCTCAATTAAACATCTGTAACATAGATAAGCTGCTAGGACCTCCCCTAACAACCGTGTTCCTCACCTCCACTTACATGCAGCTGCCTCCCTCTAGGTACTAGAACGGGGCTACAGCTGAGCCAGGTGAAGCAACAGAACACAGAAGGCAGTTGGGCTCTGGGGAAGAAGGGCTCTTGCACCTGTGGCCTGACTTGTAGCCTGGCACTGCTGTGAAAGGGACATGGAAGGAGACATGTGGAGGAGAGACATGGAGAGACACCTGGAAAAGATACATGGGTGAGAGACACGTGGAAGGCCAACAATGGCATCTATTATCACAATGTGGTATCTCCTTTTGTCCCAGCTTTCTGGGACCTGCTTCAGAGCCCCTTTCTATGGTTCCCTGTCAGAAGGCACCTTAGATTTGTGGCAAGATTTCAGGCCTCAGCAGCCCTGCTTCAGGTTGACCCTGTTTGGTTGGGTATTTGCCCATGAGGGGACATGTAATTTTAGGTGTTTTATTGGGAAACTATTATTCTTTCTTCTTTCTCTATGTACAAATCCTATTAAAGTTCCTTCACACTAAGAGACTCCTTTGGATTTGTGTGCACCGATGGCCAGATCCCTTCAGAGCGTGCAAGTTTGGGGGGGTCCCTGTGCACCCCTCCATCATGCACTAACAGACTCAGCAGTATGACTAGGGAAGTGGACAACTTAAGCAAACTGATGCTTTGCCAGAGAGAGAAGTCCAAGGATACACTTCCTGGCACGTTGGCTGTGCTCCGACTTGATTCTCACAGGCACACGCATGGTTTGGGCCAGTGGAGATGAAATAGAAGAATGACAACAAAGCTTGTGTTTGAGTAGGAGTACAGGGGTGGTGTGAAAGATTTCATTTCAGGGCACACATGCTTGTGTGGATGCCAGATGCAAATGGGTTGGCTCTTCTATGGTATTTTTAGTGATTCAGACACAGGCAAGCTCTGTACTTCCAAACATTTTCTTACTCTAAGATTTTGGCATTAAACTTGCCATTAATGATTTTTTAGGCTCTTGCTCTATCTCCCTGGTGATTTATCAGCTGTATTTTCCCTTACTTCATTTCACATTTTTCCTTCTGCTATGTATCTTAGTGAATCCTTCCTTTTGCTCTCAGCAGACTTTACTTTTTGAAGGATTTTTCTGCCACATTTTACTTCCATTGTCCAGTTTCTTTTCTTGTGCCTTTCTTGAGGTAACTCTAAATCCTCTCTTCTTGTACTGCCAACTTGATCCGACTTTTCTTCACCCTGCCAGACCCTGTAAACTTGCTTCTGTTGTCCCTCCTTTGCACACAGTTACTTCATCCCTGTAAACCCCAGGGTGTCTGTCATAGGAAGCCCCCCAAGGTCTTAAAAGAAAAGCAAAAGATAACATCAGAGCATCAAGAGACAAAGCCCTCATTTTATCCTCAGGAAGGGGTCACTCTCCTCAAATTGCCTCTCACTGCACTCTACAAAGAGATACCTGTGTGGGAGAAGGGAAAGAAAATCTCCAATTTCCTCAGTAAGACTTCTCACCTGCAGGGAGGAAAGATGGTGGTGTAATGTGAGCAAGACCTCAGCAAGCGTCCCAACATGCATTCTACATGAACATCAACCAGTGAGCACTATCCTGGGCCCAGGGGCACTGGAATTTAGAATGGAAATACAATATGGCCCTTGACTTCAGAATCTGTGACAGAAAAGAGAAACACATGTTACTCAGTGATTGTATAAAATGACTGATTATAGAATGATAAAGACCTAAGTTATAATTTGAATATTAAGCTCCGTATTATCAGAGGTAAGACAGGGAGAATAATCACTTCCCTCAGATTGTTGTGACACATGAAGCGATTAGGAAAGAATTCCATGAATAGTGTGGCTTGCCTCTAGGTGCTACTCCTGGTTCAGCAAAGGATTGGATTTGACAAGAGACCTTTTAGCTTGCTCTGCAGCCTTCTGAGGGACAACAGAATGAGTTGACCCTCTATAGCTGAGAGTAAATCTATAGAAGTGATAACAGATAACATTCCTTGAGTCTCTGTTCTGAGCTAAACCCTCCCTTTACGTGCATTGTTTCATTTAAATTTCAAGTTTTCCTCTGTCAGGTACTGCCCTAGAGCTGCAGAGACTGTAGCACACAGAACTGACTCTTCATTATACAACCAGTAAGAGTTGATCCAAGATTTCATATTCCATAAACCCAAAGCCCATATTTCCATAAACCCAAAGCCCATATTCTAAGCCACTACACAACGGGGAATTTTACATGGACTACACCTGAGAGGAGAAAGCATACATTGTACAAAAATGAAGAATGATGTAAAATATACATAAATAAAATTTAAAAAGTCCTTTGCACATGTATCCATCAAAGAATTTTAGAAAACTAATATCCACTTTTATATAGCTATAAAAGACATGATTTCTGGCATATCATCATCATTGGAATAATTGGAATATTTTAAAATAAAACACATATCACTCTTGTAAATGCATCTTATGGAGTTTATTTTTTTGAGGTAACTCTGATTTACTATATATGATTTAGAAGGACAGAGTCAGACTTTTCAGATATATGTTACCACATCCTACCCATAGTCCTCCACCATCGTGTCCAATGGTATTCAAATACCACAACAATCGGATCCCCATCAACATTCATTTTAAAAATATATGAACAAGATCTTTAACAGAAATAAGCTCTATTTCCTTCCCACCCTCTCCATGCCCCCAGCTAAGGAAGTATTTATTCGAAAGAAAACCACTTCTTCTGTGCCTGCACCACAAGTTCCTTCTGAGGGGTTTTCCTTAACTACCCCGCTCACTTTCCTTACAGTATTTATCGTGACCTGAAATTGTCTTGCATTCACTCACTCACTCATTTGCATTCTGTCTCCCCCTTGAGTCTAGGGCAGAGTGCAACTCAACTGGCCCTATCTGGACTGTGGTCATTTCTTTAAGCTCCTTGAAATTGTTTTTTAATTTCACTCTGGCTGTAGAGTTTGATCTTAATACAAATTAGTTCTTAACTTTAAAGTATTTTGTAAACAAATCAAAAATCATTTTTAAATGTCTGTGACTGTAAGGCTATACATTAAGCAATATCAGTTGTTATATTTTTAATTATTAGTAGCATACACTTGATCAAAATAACATAAGTACATATACATTTAAATTATTCAGCACAAGAAGTAAACATTGTATTGGAAAAGGATCCTTTAATGAGATCGATGGAGGAAGAATGCTTAGTATCTGGAATATAAGTGATGTCAGTATTTCAGAAATCCACTTTGTTTGGTTCCCAAGAGGTTTTTACTTGAAATAATGAACAATGTTAAGAAACGTAATGAATAAATAAGTAGAACTTTCTTTGTAAAGGGAGAAGGAAGAATTGACAAAACTTCTGAAACTATAGATGTTCTTTGATCAATTTTAGGAAAGGGTAGATATAAAAGTTAAAGAAACTGATCCCCTGTAAGCTCTGTAACTCCTTACCCCTTGGGAAATCTTCATGTCTGCTGGGGCACACGTACCACCGCTATAGTCTAGTCAACTTGCCTCCTAGGACTCCATGCCTATTGTTCTCAATGAATAATAATGCATCCAGGTAAGATCAAGGATCCCAGCTTTGTCAGTGTGAAGTATAATTCTAGAGAACACTTGCTGTATTAACACAAGACTTTCTTTGCAGCTGGCCACATAACTAGCTGCCTTTGCATGGAAGAATTTTTTAAAAAACAATATAAAGCCATAGAATGTTAAAGCAAAACAATTAATTAACTTTCATTTTATAGGTAAGATCACCAATCATTTAATAAGAGAGCCCAGTGCCAGAATACAGTTCTTCTGATTCTTGGTCCAGGGTATGACAGAGGGCGAGGTATCCTTCTGAACGTGCGTGTGCCTCCTTCCATTGTGTTGGGTAGTTTTAGAAGTGGGTGGCCCACAGACTATATTTCCCAGTCCCTTAGCAGTCAAGTGTAGTCAGAGGACTGAGTTACAGGTGAAAGGAATTTGATGGAAATAACACAGGCCATTCCTAGGTTGGTTCCTAAAATCTTTCCAAGTGGAACTTTCCACATTCTTTTCTCTTACAACTGGCTGAGAACACAGAAGCTAAATATTGAAGATGGAAGATCTTCTTCCAGTCAGGATCCCTGCTGACTTACTAACTTGCCCAATACTTTCTTATGACCAAGAAATAAAGTTCTATTATGTGTGAGCCATCAGTTTTGGAGTTCATTTGTCTTGACAGTTAATGTACGCTTACGTAGCACACCACCCACCCTTTGGTCTGTTGAATCACTTCTTGAAGTGTGCAAAGACAGTAGTTCCAGTACACGCAGATACTACTTTGGTCTGTGAGCTAAAGGTTGAACCTTGGACTGATTGATAAAATGGTAGCAATTCTTAGATCTTTAGTGTTATAATGTGAAATAAAATGTCAATAACACCCATCACGTAGTTATTGAAGATGCTAATGAGAGCCTAGTACCCTGAGAAACAAGGCTTACAACAAAAAGAAATAGACTCTGCAGTCTCCAGGGGCTGCTTACCTCACTATCCTGGAAACTGGTTACAATCCAGGGCAGGAGTGGAGGCAACAAGGGGGTAGATGAAATCCACAAAGCTAAACATCAGTAAAAAGAATAGCATAAAATATGGAATCTACAGACTTGGGGACTTAAAAAGAATTGCAGACATCATCCAAATAAATACTTTCTTTTCACAGTGAGGCCCAGAGGGAAATTGAGCAGTAATCTCTAGGTAATAGTATACAGTCCAGAGTTCAAATGCACCTCTGCCACTTATTAGCTCTCTGACTTACTAACCTTTCAAAATCTGTTTCTTCACTCTTAAGATAAAAATAACCCTACCCATCTAGCAGAGATTGTAATGATGAATTAACTAGATAAAATGCAGCTGATTTAATATTAGTATCTTTCTGGCAATAAAATCAGAATCAGAACCTAAGCTTCCTCACCACCCAGTTTGCTATTTTTCCATGCGCACCATCTGCTTTCAACTCACTCCCCAAGCCTTTTAGCATTGACTCAAATAATTTGCAGGGCTCACCATGAAGCTCTTTTGGGTATCCTGGGGTCTGTATAGTACGAATATAAAAACCTCTAACATCTGTCTGTTCTTTTATTTCCAACTTTAAAGAATGATAGTTATTTAAAAAAAAATAAAAAGACACTGACTCTTTATGGCTTAAGTAGCAGAATTATGGGGGGAAAATTACTGCATGTCAGGGGTTTTATATCTTAACCCCAGCCCCAGCAATTTTTTGCTCTACACCCATAAGGGCCTTGACTTCCTCAGGTGTAAAACCAAGGGGTTTAATTACGTAACAGGCTAAGATTATTATTCACTGTAAATGTTGATTTGTTCATTGACGTCTCATCAAAAGCATCACCTCCATTTAATTCTGGGGTATAATTCTGTTTCTGTGATTGTGTGGCGCTGAGTATTTCTGGGGGTGCTGACAAGGAAGAAGTAGGAGAATAGGTTTTCTGTGTGATCTTTACACTGAAATGGTCCTCAATTAAAAAAAAATTAAGATGATCCCCTTTCAGAAAATGCACGTGGTCAGCAAAGTTGAATCGTATTATTCTCTGGAACAGTACTGAATGTGACTCAGATGTAAAAAAAAAAAAAAAATGGCAAAGCCAAGAGTTACATTAAGTCAAATATCACAGGAGACATCTGTGTGAAATAGTAAATGAAGCAAGAAAATAAATGAGTGTTTGCCCAAAAAGAGGGAAAGCTCCCCACCCATGATATGCCTTCATTCAAGAAATATTTACAGAAAAGGGTAGGGAAAAATTTGGATAGTTTTTCCACAGACCAGCTACTGTGGTGGAGACTAAGTCTGTATTTCTTATGACTTAGCACTTAGGATGTTAGCACTTAGCACTTGTGATGTTAGCACTTAGGACACCTAGGCAGGGGACCCCAAAGGGCAAGGACTGATGAAGACCCAAAGAACTCTTCCAACAGTCAGTCATATCCCTTTTGGGGATTGATTTCTTTGCTAAACAAATATTTACTGAGCACCTCATATATACCAGATTTAAATCTAAGCCTGGGGATACAGTGGGAAAGAAACTATACAATGCCCTGCATCCTTGGAAATGACATTCTAGTGTTGATATACCTCTTGTCCTGGAATCTGTAAGATAAGGTTTCAGTCAAAAGGGTCATGTAGAAGCAGGGCATTATATTCTTTTTTTTTTTTTTTTTTTTTTTTTTTTTTTTTTTTAGAGGCATTTTTATTTATTTATTATATTTGTTTGTTTGTTTTGTTTATACATGCACTGGGTACAGTCAGAAGCGCGGGAGGTGAGAGAATTCACCAGAGCCAGAGTGGGGAGCAGAGCAGGCAGAAGGACTGAAGTACACTGCTGAAGGGAGCAGCGGGTGGCAGGAGAGGTCTGCGCACCATGTGGGATTCTCCTCCGGTGGCTGGGAGCAGCCGGGGATCGAACCGGCGCCGCAGAGGCCGCGGGCAGCTTCGCAACCCAGCGCTCAACCGCTGCGCCACCGGGGAGGCCCAGGGCATTATATTCTTTAAAAACCTCCATTCATTCCTCTGACATCCAATCATTAAAGGTGAAAGATCATGGCTACTCCACAGACTGTCTAATACCAACTGATACGAATCACCCTCTCATAGATGTTCTG